TGAGATTATTATTTCAATCTGCACTTGCAAAAACTAGATATTATTTTAAAACAGAATTTCTCGAGCCGGGCTCGGTGGCTTAGCCTGTAATCCCGCGCTTTGGGAGGCCGAGGTGAGTGGATTGCCTGAGCCCGCGGGTTCAAGACCTGCCTGGGCAACTTGGCGAGACCTCATGTCTACAATAAATCAAAAAATTAGCCGGGCGTGGTAGCACGCACCTGTAGTTCCAGCTACTTGGAAGGCTGAGGCGGAAGGATCACCGGAGCCCAGCAGGTCGAGGCTGCAGTGGCTGGGAGTGGCCACTGCACTCCAGTCTGGGCGACAGAGTGAGACTCCAACTCAAAAAATATAAATATAAATAAATAATAAAATAGAATTTCTCTTTGTAGTAATTGAAAATGGCATGCCCATCTTGATTTCATTTCAATTTCTGTGATTATTAGTAAGTAAACAATTTCTCATATTAGTAAGGGTGATATATTTATTGATTTGTTTTATAGTAACAATTTATATAGTAATGTTAATCTTGAGATTATTATTGTCTTTTTTATTGTTCTATTTGCTGTTTTATTATTGATTTTCATTAGAAGTATTTTATTATTGGTTTTCATTACAATGATATTAGATATTAATATTTTTCTGCCACACAGACTAAACATAGTTATTTTCATTTTTTATTGACAAATTATAATTGTACATGTTCATGGGGTACATAGTGATGTTTTGATTAATGTACAGTGATCAGATTGGGGCAATTGGCATGTCCATCATCTCAAACGTTTATAATGTCTTTATTGAAAATATGCAATATCTTCCTTCTAGATATTTGCAACTATGTATTATATTATTGTTAACTATAGCCATCCTAATGTCCTAGAGAATACTAGAACTTATTTCTCCTACCCAGCTGTAATTTTATATACCTTAACAAATCCCCCTCTATCCCTCTGGTACTTTTGTACAGTAAGATACCAATTTATTTATTTATTTTTGTCATTTGAACTTTCATTTTTAAAATTTTATTTTAAAGATGTGGGGTACAATTCAGGATGAGGTAGATAAGTGGTCATTGTACTGGTAAAGTTTGAGCCTCCCTTTGGTCCCCATCAATTTTTTTTTTTTGGAAAAATATTTACTACAGCTTTAGAAAAATAATGTGAGAGAAAATTCATCAGCCTTAAATGTATAGCTTAGAAATTAAGAAGGATTTAAAACTAATGAGTTATATATCCATCTCAAGAAGTGAGAAAAAGAATAGTACATTATCTCCAAAGAAAACAAAGGAAAATTAATTATAATTAGAGCAGAGGTTAATGAGATAGAAAACAACATTTAATGGAGAGGATCAATAGAGACAAAAGATGTATCTTTTAAGATATGAATAAATTTGGTAAAATTCTGGTGAAATAATCACAAAAATACTTAAAAGATCATTAATAAATGTAAATCTCTTTAAACCAGTAAATCAAAAAATTTACTTGCAACAAATTCCTAGAACAACACAAACTACCATAACTGATCCGAAAGCAAACAGAGATGATGACTATCTCTATATCCATTTTAGAAGTTAAATTCATAATTTAAAACCTTGCCACAAAAAGAACTTTTAGGTTCAACAGGCTTCATCATGCATTTGTCCACATATTTGAGGGAGGGAAAAAGTCAACTATACACAACATATTCTAGTTGGTATCAGAAAACAAAGTCACCCCCAACTCATAAGGCCACCGTGACACAAACCTGGAAAGAGTATTGAAAGAAAAGTCACAGCCCAATTGCCCTTATGAACCTTGAGACAAAAATCCTAGGATGGAAGCATCTTCCAGAGCAGAGATGAGCATTTGCACAGCACAATGGTCACGACCAGGAAATTAGTATTCCTATGATATAATCCCTGAGACCAGGGGCACAATTCATCCAAACCAAGTTGATTAAATTCCCCTGGCTTGAGGCATGTGAGTGAGTATGAATGTGGGCTCTAAACCTTTGAGTAGTCCCCTCAGCTGAAATTTCTTTGAAATTTAACTCTTTTCTGACAACAGTTTATGGATGAGTTTCCTTCCTTTCCTTTTACCCCACAGTATTTGGAGTCTGTGAACGTGCTGCTTAACTCTTTCTTTTGAAATAATCTCAGAGTTATGAAAAAGTTGCAAGAACAATACAGATAGTTCTTATGTATACCCTTACCCTGATTCCCCAAATGTTAACATTTTACCATGTTTACTGTTTTGAATCCCCTTTTCTCCCTCCCTCTCCCCTCCCTCCCTCCCTCTCTCACCTCCCCCCTCCCCCCCTCACCCCCATCCCCTGTAATTTTCCAGAACCCTTGGAAAATAAGTTGCATTTCAAATCTGGTTCTTCTTCACCTCTGCAAATGCAGTATTTCCTAAAAAGTGAACATAGTTTCACACAACCGCAGCACAATTATCACAATCAAGAACACAGCATTAATATTACTATCAAGTCTGCAAGACTCATTCATATTTCAGTAATTATCCCAATAATGTCATTTATAACAAAAGAAAGTCCCAGATCGTGCATTACATTTGGTTGACATGTCTTTTTAGCATCCTTTAATCTGGAACATTTCCTAGACTCTCTTCGTATTTTATGGCAGTGATATTTTTTGACGGGCACAATTCAGGTATCGGGCAGAATGTCCCTCAAGTTCATTTTGTGTGATGTTCTCTACTCTTTATATTGAAGTCCTGCATCTTTGGTAGGAATTCCACAGAAATGATGTGTTGTCGTTTTCAATAAATCCTATTAGAAAGCACATGATTTATCCAATTAGAGAAACCCCTTGACCATGTTACAGGGTTGTTATACAAATGAATGCTTAAGATGGATGGTTGGGATTAGAGTCTATTTTCTAGAATTCCATTTTGTTTGGTTTTTATGGAATGAATATTTAATATGAGTGGTTATCTATGAGATATTGTCTCACACCTGATAGAATGGCTGTTATAAAAAAGACAAGAGATAACAGTATCGGCACGCTTGTGAAGAAAAGGAAACCCCAGCACATTGTTTATGGGAATGTAGATTGGCGCAGCCATTATGAAAAATAGTATGAAGGTTCCTAAAAGAATTAAAAATAGAACTACCATATGACCCAGCAAGCTTTTCCCTGAATATAGATCCAAAGGAAATGAAATCACCACTTTGTAAAGATATAGCGGTACACTCATATTCATTGCAGCATTATTAACAATAATCAACACAAAAAAACAACCTCAGTATCCATTGGTTAATGAATTTGTGGATAAAATGTTATATATATGTACATATATATACATTCACATGCACACATGTATGTTTTCACACAATGGAATATTTCCCAGTCTTAAAATGAACATGATTCTGTCATTTTCCACAACATGGATGAATTTGGGGAACATCACACTAAGTGAAATAAGCCAGACACAGAAAGAAAACGCTACACGATCTCACGTCTATGTGGAATCTTAAAAAAATTAAAAAGTCAAGTATACAGGGGTAGAGATTACAACACTGGTTACCCAGGGCAGGATGGGAGAGTCAGAAAACGTGACCTGTAGGTCAAAGAATACAAAGTAGCAGATATATAGGATAAATAAGTCTAGAGACCTAATGTTCAAAATGAGGACTATAGTTAATAATAGTGCATTGTATTCCAGATGTATGCTAACTTAGTAGATTGTAGCCGCTGTTGCCACAAAAATATAGATAACTATGTGAGATGGTGAATATACGTCTATTTGTTTCACTATAGTAACCATTTTACTATCTCCTGTGTATTTCATAACACCATCTTGTATGCCTTAAATATGCACAATAAAATTTATCTTTTAAATACTTAAAACAATAATGTGAGCGGTTGGGATAACAGACTCCATTTGTTAGGGTGCCATTTAAGAGCTAAAGGAGATTGAACTCTTAGGCAAAACGACTGACTTCATAAATGAGTAAAAAACTTGGACAGGCCAGGCGTGGTGGCTCACACTTGTACTACCAGCCCTTTGGGAAGGAGAGGTGAGAGGATAGTTTGAGGCCAGGGGCTCGGGACCAGCATAGGCAGCATAGCAAGACCTCATCTTTACAAATTTTTTAAAAAAATACCTGGTCATGGTGGCATGCACTGTTAATTCCAGCTACTCAGGAGGTTAAGATGGGAGAATCACTTAGAACCAGAAGTTTGAGGATGAAGTGATCTACGGATCATGCCACCGCCCTCTAGCCTGAATGACAGAGTGAGATCCTGTCTCTTTAAAAACAAAAACAAGTCTCTTTAAAAACAAAAACAAGCCAGGCTCTGTGGCTCAGCCTGTAATCCCGCACCTTGGAAGGCTGAGGTGAGCGGATTTCCTGAACTCGCGGGTTCAAGACCCGCCTGGGCAACTTGGTGAGACCTCATCTCCACAATAAATCAAAAAAAATTTGCCAGGTGTGGTAGCATGTGCCCGTAGTTCCAGCTACTTAGAAGGCTGAGGCAGAAGGATCGCCAGAGCCCAGCAGGTTGAGGCTGCGGTGGCCGGAAGCAGCCACTGCACTCCAGTCTGGGGGACAGAGTGAGACTCCAACTCAAAAAATAAATAAATAAATAAATAAATAAAAATAAAACCAAAAACAATGCCAGGCTTGGTGGCTCAGCCTGTAATCCCAGCACTTCGGCAGGCCGAGGCAGTGGATTGCCTGAACCCACAGGTTCGAGAACAGCCCGGGCAACTTGGCAAGACCTTGTCTCTACAATACAATAAAAAAAATTAGCTGGGCATAATAATGTGCGCCTGTAAATCCAGCTACTTGGAAGACTGAGGCAGAAGGATTGCCGGAGTCCAGCGGGTCGACACTGGGGTAGCCGTGAGCGTGCCACTGCACTCCAGCTTGGGTGACAGAGTGAGACTACAACTCAAAAAAAAAACCAAAAAAAAGCATGGGCGGTATTTCTATTCCGTGAAGGATGCCTGTTTGCTGCTGTTGATGTTGCTCTTATCTCCTTTTATAGGTACATGAGTTACATGGAAGCAGAAAACCAAACAGGAGTTTTAGAGTTTATCCTTCTCGGACTCTCAGAGGACCCAGAAATGCAGCCCATCCTCTTTGGGCTGTTCCTGTCCATGTACCTGGTCACGGTGCTGGGAAACCTGCTCATCATCCTGGCCGTCAGCTCCGACGCCCACCTCCACACCCCCATGTACTTCTTCCTCTCTAATCTGTCCTTGGTCGACATCTGTTTCAGTACCAGCATCGTCCCCAAGATGCTGGTGAACATCCATACAGAGACCAAAGCCATCTCCTACATGGATTGCCTCACTCAGGTCTATTTTTCCATGTTTTTTCCTATCCTAGACACTCTCCTGCTAACGGTGATGGCCTACGACCGGTTTGTGGCCATCTGCCACCCCCTGCACTACACGAGCATCATGAACCCTCGCCTCTGTGGCCTGCTGGTTTTCGTCACCTGGTTCATTGGTGTCATGACATCCCTCCTCCATATTTCTCTGATGCCACAACTGAGCTTCTGCAAAGATCTTGGAATCCCACATTTTTTCTGTGAACTGACACAGATCCTCAAGTTGGCCTGCTCCGATATCTTCCTGAACAGCACGTTGATATATTTGATGACAAGCGTGCTGGGCGTTTTCCCCCTTGTTGGGATCCTTTTCTCTTACTCACAAATCGCTTCTTCCATAAGGAAGATGCTCTCACCTGAGGGGAAGCAAAAAGCCTTTTCCACCTGTGGGTCTCACCTGTCAGTCGTTTCTTTATTTTATGGCACAGGCGTTGGGGTCTACTTCACTTCTGCAGTGACTGGCTCATTCCAGAAAATCTCAGTGGCCTCAGTGATGTACACTGTGGTCACCCCCATGCTGAACCCCTTCATCTACAGCCTGAGGAACCAGGATGTGAAGGGGGCCCTGAGAAGACGCCTCAGCAGGCCAGCCTGTCTGTGATGGATTCACTGGTCCCAGGACTAAATCAATGTTGGGGCACCAATGGCAAAACAAAGCCAAAACAGACCTTTTATTTTGATGTTCTTACACTTGACTCTCTGTCAAACCATCTTGTCCTTTCACCCAATCCTGGAGGATCTATGGCTTTGTTCTCTCCTAGTTTTATTTTTCCCCCTTTTGAGTTGGGGGGTCTCACTCTGTTGTCCAGGCATGGCTATGGCTCACCACAGCCTTGACCTTTTTGGTTCAAGCAAAACTTCTGCCTCAGCCTTCGGAGTGGCTGGTACTACAGGTCCATGCCACCATGTCCAGCTAAATGTTTGATGTTTTTCTGGAGATGAGGTCGTGCCAAGTTGCCCGGGTTGGTTTTGAACTCCCAGGCTCAAGCAATTCTCCTGCCTTGACCTCCCAAAGTGCTGGGCTTACAGGGGTGAGCCACCATGCCCGGCCTAGCTCCTACTTTTTACACATTTAAAAAATATGTATTTTTATTTTCACAGATTTAAAGAGTACAAGTGTCATTTTTGTTACATGGATATATTGAGTAGTGGTGAAGTCTGAGCTTTTAGTGTGGCATCACCTGAATAATGTGTATTTTATCCATTAAGCGATTGTTTAACCCTCACCTCCTTCCATCCTTCCAAATCTCTAATGTCTATTATTCCACAATCTGTTTCTGTGCACACACTGTTTATTTCTGTGTACCACTTCTAAGTAAGAAAGAGCATGCAGTATTTGACTTTCTGACTTATTTCACTTAGGATAATGGCCTCCAGTTCAATCCATGTTGCTGTAGAGGATATCATTTCATTCTTTTTTTATAACTGACTAGTAATCCACTGTGTGTGTGTGTGTGTGTGTGTGTGTGTGTGTGTGTGTGTGTGTGTGTGCATACTGTATTTTCTTTATCCAATCATCTGTTGATGGACACAGCACTCGTGTTGTTGTCTTATCTTTGCTACTGTGAATAGTGCTATGATAAACTTATGGGTGCGGGTTAACAACTCATTTTTTTTTTTGAGAACCAATGTGTAGTTTATTATAGAATGAAAAACACATTCAAGGGAGAACACAGGTGTCTTACAGATAAAGACACACCCTTGTCTTTAACAAGATGCTTTATATAAGTCCACAATGAAACAAACTATTCCATAAGTTAAGAGCAGGCTGTGGGTATTCGATCATGAGTTTTGATTACTTATCCCCCAAACTTTATTTTTTAACTTTTAAATTTTTTATTTTAAAGATGTGGGGTACAATTCAGGGTTAGGTATACAAATGTTCATTATGCAGGTACCCTTGTGGATGAGGTGTGCTCCCCTTCTCCCCTGGCAGTTTCCCTCAAATGCCAATCCCGCCTTCCCTCCCCTGGCAGTTTCCCACTACTGTCAATCCCTTTCTTATAGTATTATGATGATTATTCAAGGTCCACTTATGAGTGAGAACATACGGTACTCTGCTCTTTGTTTCTGTGATAGATCACTGAGTATGATCGACTCTAAATCCGTTCAAGTTGCTGCCAAGTTCATATGTTTGTCCTTCTTTATGGCTGCATAATATTCCATTGTGTATATGTACACCCCCCCCCTTTTTTTGAGTTGAAGTCTCACTCTGTCACCCAGACTTGAGTGCAGTGGCCACTCCCGGCCACCGCAGCCTCAACCTGCTGGGCTCCGGCGATCCTTCCGCCTCAGCCTTCCAAGTAGCTGGAACTACAGGCGTGCGCTACCACGCCCGGCTGATTTTTTTGATTTATTGTAGAGATGAGGTCTCGCTGCCCAGGCGGGTCTCGAACCCGCAGGCTCAGGCAATCCACTCACCTCAACCTCCCAAAGGCTGAGCCACCGAGCCTGGCCCCCTTTTTTTTTAACCAACCATGCTGCCCATCGAATTTAGACTGGATCAAAAAACAGCTAATCTTTAAGTAACTTTCTAAATGACATTCTTGTCCTATCTACTGTCTAAAAATTATGTCTTTGGTTAGCTTTCTTACTTCCGCACTGGTGAATTCTAAACTTGGGCTTGAACCATTTGCTATGGCTTTGTTATCTCAAGTGGTGGCTCGAAGTTCTTTAACGATTGATTGTTTACCTAATTTATATCTATGTATTTGCTTATAGAGTTGTATTGTTGACTTGTATCATCAACAGATTAACGGTGTTTGTTTTTTTATTTCTACAAGATCAAGTGTGATTAAAATGCACATTAAAATCTAGCTGGTTATATATCTCTGGTATCTCTTCCTCTTTTTCTTTTTCTTTTTCTTTTTCTTTTTTTTTTTTTTTTTTTTTTGTAGTCTCACTTCGTTGCCCAGGCTAGAGTGCAGTGGCACACTCTCGGCCACCCCAGCATTGACCTGCTGGGCTCTGGTGATCCTTCCGCCACAGCCTTCCAAGTGACCAGAACTACAGGCAAGTGCTACCATGCCCGGCTAATTTTTTGCTTTCTGGTCTCGAACCTGCAGGCTCAGGCAATCCACTTGTCTCAGCCTTCCAAAGTGCTGGGATTACAGGTTGAGCCACAAAGCCCAGCCCTCTTGCTCTTTTTCTAAGGACATCAGTCTTTTTAGATTAGACTAATCTAATCTAAATGTTATAACCTCACTTTACATTAATTGCCTCCTGAAAGGCCCTATCTCCTAAGGTAGTTGTCACTTTGGGGATGGAGGATGCTATTTAGTCCCTTGTAAACAGTTTGTATGCATATCTGAGAAAGTTTGGGCCAACTCAATGGGGAGTGCTGGAGCTAGGGTTGCTCTTTGGAGAGATCTCACACGGGATAGAAATGACCAGCCGGACTAATGGGAGGAATGGAGGCAAGCAAGATGGCGCAGACACAGGGCACCAAGAGGAAAATCTGTTATTACAACAACGGGGATGTTGGAAATTACTATTATGGACAAGGCCACCCAATGAAGCCTCACCGAATCCGCATGACTCACAATTTACTGCTCAACTACAGTCTCTACAGAAAAATGGAAACCTTTCGCCCTCACAAAGCCAATGCTGAGGAGATGACCAAGTACCACAGCGATGACGACATTAAATTCTTACGTTCCATCCATCCAGATAGCATGTTGGAGTACAGCAAGCAGATGCAGAGATTCAGCGTTGGTGAGGACTGTCCAGTATTTGATGGCCTGTTTGAGATCTGTCAGTTGTCTACTGGTGGCTCAGATGAGGAGGGAGAGGGTGGCTGCAAGAACTCTTCCAACTTCAAAAAAGCCAAGAGAGTCAAAACAGAGGATGAAAAAGAAAAAGATTCAGAGGAGAAGAAAGAAGTCACAGAAGAGGAGAAAACCAAACCAAGGAGGAGAAGTCGGAAGCCAAAGGGGTCAAGGAGGAGGTCAAGTTGGCCTGAGCAGACCTCTCCAGCTCTGGCTTCTTACCAAGTCCCCCTTTCTTCTCCAACCCCTCAGATTTTATATTTTCTATTTCTGTGTATTTATATTAAAATTTATCAAATATAGCCGGGCTCGGTGGCTCAGCCTGTAATCCCGCGCCTTTGGGAGGCTGAGGTGAGTGGATGGCCTGAGCCCGCGGGTTCGAGACCCGCCTGGGCAGCGAGACCTCACCTCTACAATAAATAAAAATATCAGCCGGGCGTGGTAGCGCATGCCTGTAGTTCCAGCTACTTGGAAGGCTGAGGCGGCAGGATCGCCGGAGCCCAGCAGGCGAGGCTGTGGTGGCCGGGAGTGGCCACTGCACTCCAGTCTGGGCAACAGAGTGAGACTCGAACTCAAAAAAAAAAAAAAAATTTATTAAATATAAATATTCGCAGGGACTCGACAGAAACCAGGACCCTGAGCCCAGGGAAGCTATGCTAGGTGGACTCTTCTAGTAGTGCCCTTGAAATGCCAAGTGCCTGTTTAATAGTTTTGAAAAGGTGCCTTTACTGAGGACTCTGGAAGTTGGGTCTTCAAGGACCCTGGTTCTTTTCAGGCTCCTAAGGTAACATCAGCCATTTTTAGACTCGTTCTGTTCTCGTACCTTCCCACTGTCCTCAAGTGAGCCGAGAAACTCACACTGCCTGCCCTGTCTTCCCCCAATTCTGCAGGTGGAGGTTGGTACTCTAGTTTCCTTTTTGAGATACTATTTCATTTTTGTTAGACTGTTTGTGATAAAATGGTACAGTTCTTAAAAAAAAAAGAAAGAGAGAGAAAGAGAGAGAGAGAGAGAGAGAGAGAGAAAGAAAGAAAGAAAGAAAGAAAGAAAGAAAGAAAGAAAGAAAGAAAGAAAGAAAGAAAGAAAAAAAAAAGATAGATGACTAGCCCCAATTACCCTAAGAAAAGAGTGGCCTTGAGGGTTGAGGCAGACCCTGAAAGTAAGAATGGCTGGAGGCTGTCATCTAGCTGGATTCCTTATAACTGAATGACAAATTATTGTTTTGGGGGGGGGTTGAGTTGGAGTCTCACTCCATTGCCCAGGCAGGAGTGCAGTGGCACACTCACAGTCACCCCAGTGTTGACCTACTGGGCTCCGGCGATGCTTCCACCTCAGCCTTCCAAGTAGCAAGAACTATAGGCACACACTACCACATCTGGCTAATTTTTGATTTATTGTAGAGACAAGGTCTCGCCAAGTTGCCTGGGCTGGTCTCGAACCTGTGGGCTCAGGCAATTCACTCTCCTCAGCCCCCCAAATTGCTGGGATTACAGACTGAGCCACCGAGCCCGGCCCATCATTTTTATTAAAATAGATGTTTCTTGTTTCTTAAAGTATGATTATGATAACCTTCAGGTCACATTGGCAGGCCTCCCAATTAACCCACCTGAGGAATGTCTTACATCCAGGCTTATAACCTGTCCCTGAGTAAAATATCTTAACCGTGAGTCTCTCGAATCTTATCATGGGTTCCTCAAACTGTTGATGTACTGATTAATACATAACCTACTGACACCAAAAAGGACACCGATTTATTTCTATTTTTAATTTTTATTATTTTAAATGTTTACTTATTTACATTTTAGAGATGGGGTATCACTCTGTCACCCAGGCTGG